TCTTAGTATGCTTCACCACTGAAAGGAACCGACAAGGGGCCTCGCTTGTAAAACATACAATAATAGACTTTGCGCTTGTTCTGTCTTACAATTTTATTTTTAGTTCCACGAAAGCCTGCACTTACTGGGCTCAAGTTGCAAGGACAGTACATTATTTATGGCAGCAGTCTATGGGTGTTTGTGTGTCTGTCTGGTCTGTTTTTTAGGGCATGCATGTGTGAGTTTTTATTTGCAAATTAGATCTGGCTGTTTTCGACGGGACAAAGCGGTGTTCGGCCCCATCAGTGCAGCCCGTCAGTAGAACAATGAAATCCGTGTTAACCCTCTCCTTCCTTCCCTTCTGCCAGGAACACAACCCGCCTGACAATAGGACTGTTTGTAGGTCAGTGTCCTGCCCCACTGCCCTCCATAAGCCCTCAAACTGACTGTCATGAGTTGGGATCAACACAATGGGCTTCACCAGATGACAAAGTACTTTTTCAACATTTACAAATCCTCTTTCCCAGAATCCATAAACAGTAGAATGCCATTATTGACTGTTGTTTATGAAATCCTACAAAGCCAAAAGCTCTGTATGTGCAAGATAATCAGTGCTCAACAAAAGAAGAGAGTACTTAGAGAACCTTTCTACTTGGAGGACTAATCACTAGCCAGGCTTCCATCCAGATGTATAGGAATTATTTTTCATGTTTTGAGAAAATCTTTAAAAAGAAAATGAGAATGAATGCTAGTTTCCTTCCACTGCTGTTAATCAAATTTGAGATAAGCAATAGGTGGCGCCAATTCTTTCATAAGGAAACTATTGTAATTACCATTGCAGAAGAAGATGGGGGGAAATGACTTAATTAAAAGAGTGTCAAATAGTGAACAACAATACAGAAAAACAGGAAATATAACATTTTCATATTTTCTTGAATTTCTTGAATTTCTTGTCGAGTAGATCATAAGAGCTCAATGCCTTTCCATTGCAGTTTTTAACATTTAGCATTTAGCACTTACTAGATATTTCAAGAATTTTCCAATGTTTCGGTTTTTAACTTAAGTTGATTGAAACGCACCTGGGTAAAGACCTCTTAATAGACTTTAATGTAATAGTACTCAGGGTGCAAATGATGCATGTGGAGCGGCTGCCAACAAATTACACTGACAGTGTTAATTATATCAGTAATCAAACCTGAAACATTAAATAGTTTGGTAAAGGTTAACTTAGTACAGTACTGACGTCTCTCATTGCAATCACTTCAACATTCACTCAGCTCTCTTTCCTTCCCAGGACCAGCTGCCTCTCCCCGTGTTTCTGAGGGAGGTTTAAAGCTATTTTCATTTCAGCTGGGAGAACTGTAGGAATGTTTGTCTGAACTAAACACAGCGTCTCAGACATCTCTGCTCTGTTTGTTGAGGCTGAGCAGAGTGCAAATACCGGCGGCTATAGAAGGCACATTTTCTTCCAGTACTGACCGGTCAGAAAGATTAAACTATTACTTGATAGCATTATCACTGTTTACAAAAATGTGTGTGAAAAAGATTATAGTATTCAAACCATTGGACAGCAGAACTATCCTTTTTTTACTTGCATTTAGTAACCATAAGAATAGCTCTGACTTTATGTGCTTTTGCTTATTCAACTCCTATAAACACATTAACGGTAAATAGGTGGACGTAGTCACCCATTTGTTTGGGTTCCAGTGTTTTGAGGCCTCAGATGTAGCATTTTGCCACAGCCTCTTGTTGTTTTAGAGTCAGAGGTGGTCATATTAGGACATGGGGGTGGAGCTGCGCAAGACGAGGCCCGGCAGTGCCAGGTACCGTTAGCAGCTAACTCTAGTGCTAGCTAGCTAGCTCAGTCAGCAAAGTGCTTCCTTGAAACACAATGAATCTAAAGGTACAATTGACAGCAAACTCCTTCGATTGTTTTAATGCTTAACAATGCTATGGTGGCAACTTGCCAATCACAAAGTAGCAAAGCCCTAAACCACATTACATTACATGTCACTTGTTAGACGCTTTTATCCAAAGCGACTTACATACTCAATACTGTGGACAATCCCCACAGGTGCAACTTGGGGTGAAGTGTCTTGCCCAGGGACACAACGACATGCTGACTGCAGTGGGGTTTGAACCTGTGCCCCCCTGATCCCAACACCAATGCATTACCCACTGTGCCACACGCCTCCATCCTGTTTTAATTACTTTTTAATATGAATGTGCGCATATTGTACAAAATGAACATCATAGCATATTAAGACTTGAAGTGATTAAAAACATAAACTCATAGAAATCAATGTATAAGTAGTTTAAGTTTCACAGCTTAAAGAAATAATCAACTCTACGCAATCTGACTTATTTTTTAAACCAGTGGATTCCTCCCCTTTTGGACACTAGACTTGGAGTTTGTAGCTTGATTAGAACTGATTTAATTTTCATAGATAATCTTTGACTGTAGAGGATTTTTAATTATTGCCTTATTTATGTTTTTAAAGTCAGAGAAATAATATGTCTCCTCCTTTCCTCTCCAACTCCAAATCACTCACAGGCCAAACAGGTGAATCTGTGCTACATTGGCGCTACACGGTGTACCTTTTTGGAAGAGTGTTCAGGTGATAAATTGCTGCCGTCTCTCTATGTACGCCTGGAGGCGTTCGCATTGTCTCACACAGAGGATTCAGCTCCACAGTAAGTAGATTGGTTTGTTAGAGAACTAATGAGCGGAGCTGGTCTGTGTCCCCGGGGCTTCACAGCTCAGACTGTTGAATTGATGGGAATCTTATTCATCCGTACACGCAACACAGTTTAGTGTAATCACACACAAACACACACTAATTACTTTTAAGTGCTAACACAAGGCCTTGCTTACGTAGGACTAATATGTGCATTTTCGCCTTGCCGGCCTTCTTTACACTGGACAGCAGTTATCCTGATAGTTTACAAGTGCTTCTAAAAAGAGCATAATAGAGTTTAAATACTTCCTTACAAAAACAGCGACTGGTTTGCTAAAGAAAGACATTTATATTTACTCAGAGTAAACCCAACAACCTGTATGGTAGTATCTCAGTGCCAGTATTTTCAAACTGTAATCCAATTGCAATAAGAGGCAAAAGAACCTCTCGAGAGCAAGAATTTGGTTTGTCCGTTTTGGGCTACTGTAGAAACATGGCGGTACAACATGGCAGACTTCATGAAGAAGAACCGCCCTCCATGAAGATACAAAAGGTTCTCAGTTTCAAGTAATTATACACAAAGGAAATCAAAGTTATAACTATTATATTCCATTTCTGCTTATACATCCCGCTCAATCCTCCTTGTTTGTGTCTAACTGGCTGTAATCCGGTTGGGGCAACATCAATCTGCTGAGAGCACATGTTTTTGCCACTGGCTCAGATTGTTATCATTATCAGTGTCTGATGACATTATAAAAAAGGAAACTAACTCACTTGCACCGGTTTGTAACTGTGTTTTACCAAGTTCAGCTAAAGGAAAATCTTGTTCTGAAATCTTGTGTCGCATCCGCTTAATATTCAACCAAGACATTGAATATATTTAAGATAGCACAAAAATGTCTTAACAACAACACTTCAAACTCTTTCCGGCTAACATACATAAACATGTGAAAATAGGGTCCAGGTTGAAAAATACCATTACATTTTATTTAACTGAGGCTTATCCAAGGCGCATTACAATACGTGCAATAAACCATTGTAAGTGCTGGTGCATTAATTTAAAATGGACTAAACTCTTTAAGTGCTAATTTCTTTGTTTTAGCCTTTGATCTCCTGGACGAAGATACACACAGTACATGATATTGACTTTTACCTTATTGTACAATGCCATGTCTTTTATGCTGCTGCAACACAAACATTTCCCAAATAGGGATCAATAAAGTACTATCCTATCCTATCCTAATATATCCTCTCTAATTCGATAATTGAACAGAATCTACTCTTCAGTTGTATCTGGGTCACGTCCAAGGGGAGCGAATTTAGAAAAACGTGGAGAATAGAAACGTTTCCACCCAATACCCAGCTGTCTGTAACATGCTATGGACAGCTGGCTGGCTCCTTCCCTCCACAGTACAGCAACGTGATGTTCTCTGGCTCATTCCCACAACAATCAGAACGTGACAGAAGCCATGGGCAGAGCAACAGATGGGAGACGTCTTCAAGATCCACAGCCGTCTGATCCTTGTGACACCAGAGTGATCTCACTGGGACTAATTCAATGTCAGGGCTCGGTGTGTGTGTGTGTGTGTGTGTGTGTGTGTGTGTGTGTGTGTGTGTGTGTGTGTGTGTGTGTGTGTGTGTGTGTGTGTGTGTGGGAGTGGGAAAAGCTGCAGTCAGTCAGTCAGTCAGTCGATGCAAAATCCAAACGTGTGTGTGTGTGTGTGTGTGTGTGTGTGTGTGTGTGTGTGTGTGTGTGTGTGTGCACACGTTTGGATTTTGCATCGACTGACTGACTGACTGACTGCAGCTTTTNAGCCTCCTCCTAATGGCCTCATATTTTCGTGTGTGTGTGTGTGTGTGTGTGTGTGTGTGTGTGTGTGTGTGTGTGTGTGTGTGTGTGTGTGTGTGTGTGTGTGTGTGTGTCAGATATAATATAGAAGTCAGTCCATTAAGTAGCTGCCTTCATGTTGATGTTGCCTGAAGTGAACGGTCCAAGTTCTGAGTCAGCCAAAAATCGGACAGGAATGGAACTTGGACCGTTCACTTCAGGCAACATCAACATGAAGGCAGCTACTTAATGGACTGACTTCTATATTATANAGCTCACACACCATAAAACAAGTTACAGTAAAAACAATAGGAAATTTAAAAGCAATAAAAGCAATGCTCTAAAAGATGTGAATAAGCTAAGGAGAAGAGGTGGGTTTTAAGAAGCGATTTAAAAGCAGGCAGTGTGGCGGCCTGTCTGATGTGCAGGGGCAGATCGTGCCACAGTGTGGGAGCCGCTACAGAGAAGCAACGGCCCCCTCTGAGCTTTGACTTGGTTCTGGGCACATTCAGTTAATGATTGACCCGAGGAACATTTTGAATATTTGCATCTGGATACTGCTTATAGCCTCAACATGTATTTATTCTAATGACTTCCTGTCCTCTCACAGTGAGGTGGAGCTCCTGCTGCTGGACCAGCGCGAGGTGTGGGCTGCAGAGGACGGCTGGCTGCTGTTCGACCTGACCGCCACCAGCAACCTGTGGCTGGTGAACCCGGAGCAGAACCTCGGGCTGCACCTGGTGCTGGAGGACAGCCACGGTCAGTCACTAACACACATTCACACACAGAGAGAGGGCCATGACAGCAAGAAACTGTCCTTGTCTGGAGAAAGGATTTAATGCTGTTCTATTCCAATGGAAAAAAGGAGCATCATATATTGAGTAAATGTTTTTAGATGGTTCTTACAGAGTTGAAGTTATGATTGTTCATTCAAATGAACACATGATTGTTTAGCAGAGGCTTAGGTGTGTGTTGCAGTCCTTGGTTGGTTGAGACTCACTAGTTTTGTCCCTCTGTCTCCCTCTGTAGGCCAGAGGAGGAACCCCCGTCTGGTGGGGCTGGTGACGGGGAACGGGTCTCAGGAGAAGCAGCCCTTCATGGTCGCCTTCTTCAAAGCCAATGAGGTGCGATTCCGCAGTGTCCGATCCGCGCAAGGACCCAAGGGGCGCCAAGGGAACCGCTCCAAACCCCAGAGGACGGTCCAAGACGCTCTGAAGGTCGTGGAGGCTGCAGCAGGTGCCCAGAAACATAATATCACATCTCATCAACAGAGACTCATGGTTTACTGGCACAGTGTCCTTTAATACTTTTTAAAATAGATCTATTGGGCGTTATTATTTATAGGGAATTATAATACATCCATAATGCAACTACACTCATGAACACACACACTGACGCACTATATTGGCAGTCATAAAACATTATAGATGCTACTCATAAGGAATTATAAGTGGAAGCTCTTGACTATTCATAAACTCTGAGTGAACTGAAGGGCTTATATAATACATTATGACTACCTATACTCACCTATACAAACCTTCTGATGTAATAAAGACTCATAGAGATGTTCCATAGTCCATGCAGTATCACAAGTTATCAATGTTTGGAGTATAAAGTGATGAATTTATAATAATGCATGCAACACTTCATTGTTGGTATTCAGTCAAATGTAATGCCTGCATTTCAAATAATCTATATTGCATCATTTGGGATTATTATGAAAGACGCCTGAAAGAATCAGAAGTAAAAAATACACAGTATAACTATGAGTAAATATGAAATACAATTGGTCAAGCTGAGTGAAAATATAGAAGTATTTTCTTAGTTTGAATATATAAGGTTCTGTGTCCAGCTGAACATTTTTACTTTTAGTAGATGTTAACATAATAATAACTTATGATGCAGCGTGTAAAAGCATTTCAAATAATGATCTCCTGATGCATTATAGATGTGAGAGTGTTACTAATGTTTGTTTACTTTCTTGTGTGTACTCATACTTCCATCTTTTCCATTTCAGATACCCTCAGCCTCTCCAAAGAGGGATGTAAAAAGCACGAGCTGTATGTCAGCTTCAGAGATTTGGGATGGCAGGTATGGTTCAGATCTTCCATTTGATCTCATTTCATTTCAATTTCAAGTCCAAAAGTGACAATTGGCTTACATTTGCTGGATGTCTTTAATCCAACCAGGACTGGATCATCGCACCAGAGGGCTACGCAGCGTTTTACTGCGAGGGAGAATGTGCCTTCCCTCTCAACTCCTACATGAACGCCACCAATCATGCCATCGTGCAAACTCTGGTAAGTCCCAAACAGCCCCCATCATGATGACAGGCACTTTCACTACCACCTCCACTTCCTGTGAGCATTGATTTATGCCTCTTCTGTCAACAGGTGCACTTTATCAACCCGGACACGGTGCCTAAGCCGTGCTGCGCCCCCACCCAGCTCCACGGCATCTCAGTGCTCTACTTTGACGACAGCTCCAACGTCATCCTCAAGAAGTACCGCAACATGGTGGTCAGATCCTGCGGCTGCCACTGACCGCTTGCAACCCCCTCCTGTGAGTTTGTGAACAAATCTGGAGGGACGCTGAAGAAAGGCAGATGTGAAAGAGCCAGAGACGAGATGATTGACAGGCTGGTCATCAGGGAGCTCCTGCCAGCTTTAATCTGGAGAACTGCTTTTATGAGCAGCAGCTGAGCCTCACATGCAGCATGAACCACTTCCACAAACCTTTCCAAACTTTTGCTAACAAAGAAAGGATGAACAAAGGGGTTTGTTTTCCTTTCCTTTTGAGATTGACTAGAACAAGTGCATTAAAAGGACACTGAGCAATGTTGAGCTACTTCAGAGACTCAAATAAAACATTCAGTGCTAGCAACAGAAAGTAAAAACACACCTATCTGAATTTAAATGAAGGGTCTTCTTGCATTTAGAATATAAAACACTGCCTGGGTGGACACGTGCATTAGGTAACTGATTTAACAGCTTGTGAAACTTTAAAATCTCCATCTTCCTGTTGAACCTCTGCTCCTTTCCTTAAAGAACAGCTGGATGAATTTATCTCTGATGAGAGAAAAAAAAGCTTTGATTGTTCACCAGGGCATTTCAATTTTCAATTTCCGCTGATGTGGAGGAGCTCAGAGAAGAGTGGCAGCTGAGACTGTTAATAACAGGGTTGGACTGAAAGGCTGGATCTAGTTTCCTGGTGCAACACGATGCATGTGAGAGACGTGCAACCTGCAAGAGTCGGTGATTCACCTTTATGTTGACACCAGGGTGTGCACCACCTCTGCAGCTGCCTCCTGGTGTCTGGCCAGCTGCAGGTGGGCAGAGGGGAAACTGTAATTTTAGTTTTTCAGATTTAAGTAGTTAAGGCAGGTGTGTGTTCAACCTCATTGGCCCTCAATAATGTTGTTAACAGTTGCATTGAAGCACCTTGGATACTTCAAGGAATTCATGGTTTGTAGAGATTTATGACAACAGTATGCAGAAACTTTACACATATTTATTTAACAGTGAGGAAATCGTTTCACAAGGTAAAGACCGGATCTGTCTAACCCTAACCCTGCATTTCCATCTGCAGAATGTCATTCGCTCTGATTGTGCATTAGGTTCATTGTAGAGAATAACAATGCAGCCAGGGGAGAAGTACGAGAGAAAACACAAATGTATGGGACAAAAACTTTTAATAATCTCTGAAGTCAGAATTGAGTTCTGTAAGGAAAAATAACTTGACAACAGACTATGCATTTTATATTTCCGAAGCTGATTGCAAATGTATAGAATTGCATTTTTTTTTTTTAGGAAATGTGTGACTTTAATCTCAATAAATATTATTAGGGTTTTCTTTTTGAATTTGTGATTCCTTCTTCATTTAACATTTAAATGTCAGAGATTCAATAAAGTCATAATTTGAAAAATGTGATATATAATATTATTATCTGAAAATATGAACCCCCCCCCCCTTTCCTGGCTCTGTACTGTTACTTTAAACCTACAATGGTCCCGACACGTCAGCGTACCGTTCTCCACTCACCGATTGTGCTTTTGAAGTACTTTGAATGGCACAAGCGTCTCCTCAATTATGAACAGGCCATTCAAAATGAAGCTTCAGTACAAAAAGCAAAGCAGATATAGAGTGCAACAACAACCAGGCAACAAATGCATTCACACTGACATTCACTGAGAAGCTGCGCTTCCAACGCAGCACATTACAACACAGCCCACACCGTTAAAAAGACCTTAAATATATAATCTTAAATAGAAAAAAGAGGTAGAAGCGTAAAACTTAATCCTACAGATGCAATCTAGAACCAAGGTCTTGTCAGAAACTATTCTGTCATTCTAGCAGTCTCAAATCAAACCTCATTATTAATGATAGAGGAGTCTTACATAAGAATAGATGTAACTTTAAATGATACGATCAGCAGTGAAGGACCTGAGGGAGTATTTTCCTTAAAAAGCAACGTGGGCTGATTTAGTCAGAACTGCTTTCAATAATAAAACCCAAACATATAATTTGAGCCTACAAGATGAAGCTCAATTCACTCTCATGGGAACATCTTCCGGTGGCAACTTAGATGTACAATGGAGTTTGACTCAATTTAAATATCCAGTGTTTAATCCCTGACTACCTTAACAGAACATTCAGAAATCCTGAGAGTTCATCCTTTCCTTCCTTTTACCCCTAGATACAATTAAAAAATACGACGGTCAAGCACAGATATGATTCAGGAGGTAGAAAGAAGGTAAATATAGGCTGATTAAAGCAGAGTTTAGAGAGACTGACATGCTTCCTGTCTTTAAAACAGCAACCCCTCCTCACTTCATGCAGTTAGTCCCCAGGCCCCTCAGCTCAGGGGCCGAACAGTGTCTCCTTCGGACCGTCTCTCCCTTCTTCTTAGGTGCCTCTGCTAACCCCAGTCCTTGTTGTGATGCGCTCAGGGACTCACACCCTCCCCCTGACTTCCTGGGTGAAGTCTTTGGCTCCAGGGTGGCTGACGGGGGAGGCTGGGGGGTTGAGATGGGGGTGAGAGCCAGGCAGATGTCCCCCACACTGAGCTGACGGCAGTGCAGGCCACAGAGATGAGCCGTCCTCAGGGGGTTGCAGGAGGACCAGCCCCTCCCTTGCACAAAGAACGGGTACTCCACGTAGACATCCACCAGCTCCTGGAGGAGGACAAACAGGAGGATGAGACGCAGCTACACACGTGTTCAGTAGAGGGCGCTACGGAACCAGTGAGTTTTTAAACATGCTAATCATTTAATAGATTCAATCATAAGATATTTGACTCTGATACCCCTGATATATAACTGATCATATTTCAACATACACATCACTACGTTAGGCTCAAAGCACAGTTCATCCTAAAAACAAGCTTTTACCTGTAGTTCAATCTAGGTTGTTTTGGCCATGTCTTGGCAATACTGGCAGTGGAGATGTCTGCCCTCTCTCAAATCTTATGGAAGTAAATGGCATCCGCGCTGTGGTGATCAAAGCTCCATTTAAAAAATATCAACCCGCAATGTCTCTTTACAGAAATCGTGACTGGTTAATCAGACTTCGTTGTAAGCAGTTTTTTGTAGGAACTTTTTTCTTTCTGCTGAACTACAACCCCCTTTAGATTGTTTTGCAGATTTATAAACTGCAAAACAATCTAAATAAAAGTCAATAGCTTCAGTATTTTGATAATAACTTAAAGGTGGGGTAGGTACGTTTGAGAAACCGGCTCGAGATACACTTTTTGCTATATTCCATGGAATGCTCTTAACATCCCGATAGCAATATCTTAAGTGACAAAAAATCCAAATTTTGGAGAAACCAGCTCGAGTGCGCTAGAATTTGAAAATACACAGCCGGAAAAGATCTGCCACTTCCTTACAGAGCCCCTCCTCCAACACACACGAACGCGCACATGAACAATGAGGGCACGAGATAAGTTTGTGCACAGATGGAAGGCTGACAGGCAGGTAGGCCATCCAGTTAGCCGATATGATATAACAACAAGTGTATCTCGAGCCGGTTTCTCAAACTTACCTACCCCACCTTTAATGTGTTATACATCTTCACTGTGTGTCAGTCAGTCCCTTGCATTTTTGCAAACTATAACATGGTCACAAAAATAATTTAAGTTAAAAAAGAAAATGCTGCTGGGTATTATTTTTAGCAAACATTACACACACATAAGTACTTGGTGCAGATGGGGATTATTTTCAGCTGCAAATTAACACACATTGTGTGAACTAGTGTATTTTGGCACAAGGACTGTGTCTGAGGGAGTGCACATGTTCATTGTCACCTAGTAGTGGGTTATTTATGCCTTTTAAAATGTTGGGAAATTGAGTTCTATGGCAAAGAGGAATATGGTACATCAAGCTATGGCTTCATAGTAAATTCTTTGTTGTATTTGCTTACTATAAAACTATGTAAATTACTATGAGCCTCATCTAAAAAGACTAAAAAGGCATTATTTCACTCAGAATTGGGAATAATGTGTGCTATATATTGTAACCACTCATTCAGTAGTGCTTAAATATCAAGACGGCATCCCCCATCAGCCAGAATGCAACATCTTGTGCATGTATTACGTAAGAAAAGGAATTACAGCTAGGTGTGAAGTGTCTGTTGTGAATGGTGAATACTACAGAGTGGTTTCTCTTCACCTGGGACTGCTGGTCGTGAAGCAGGATGAGTAAGCGGGAGATGGAGATGGAGGAGGAGGAGGAGGCTGAGGGGGAGATGCTCTGCACAGTGCAGCAGCTCAGGCGTAAGTCCGGGCAGGCCAGCGCTCCCAGCAGGAAGTCCTCCGTCTGCAGGTGCTCCACCCTCCTCAGCCGCCCGTCTCTCAGCTCGATCAGAGAGCCGGCCACAAAGTGAGGGAGCAGCCAGGGGAAAAGATTAGGAGAGGCCTGCTCAGAGGAGGGGAGGGAAGTAGATCGTGACTGCTCCTCCTTCATGGAGATGTAGTTTGAGTTATCAGGTGATACCCGTGCAAACGATTGTCCAGAGAAGGGATGTTTGACAGCCTTTGATAATTTGTGCGGCACATCGTTTTGGTGCGTCCGGTCCTCAAGTGCTGCTTTTTCACCCCTGGGAAAAAGCTCCACTTTCCTGTCTTTTCTCCTCACATACGGCCCTTTACCCCTCCCGTTGCTGTGCCTCTCTGCAATCAGACTCTTGTCCCTTAATGTCTTTAACTGCTCCCAGCCGTACCCTCCACACACCCTCTGAAAACCCTCATTGGACAGGGACGCTGGGCTGAATCTGGGGGGTGGGGGTGGATGGCCCAGGTGGAGAGCAGGTGTGCCAGACAAGTGGTGATGAAAGTGGGGAGAAAAGGCCCACCCAGGGTGCAGGGGGTTCACATCTCTCCACTCTGCCAAGCTGTGATGATCCCTGAATGCAGAGAGGTTGTGAGGTTTGGACCTGGTGGGGGGGTGGGGGTGCGTCCAGGGCTGGTATAGAGCAGGAACCCTCCTCGGGACGGGCTGGAAGGGGCCCGTGTGCTTCGTCTTAAAGTCTCTGTGGCCCTTGTAAGGGTAGGGGGCTTTGAATGTTGCCGCATCACACTGCTGCTGCTGGGGAGGCGGGCTCGGCCTCTGATCCCTCTTTTTGAGCGGGAGCCTGTCCCTGTCCGGGACCAGAGCTGGGTTGGATGTGAAGCTCATTGGCCCGCGCTGCCTGTCACTCACGCCGGGACTGCATGCCCTCCTGCTGAAGCTGAGGAGGTGTTGTGGTCACGTGACACAGACTCCAGTCTTTTGGCAAGCGCTGTGAATAGTCAGGTCCAAGGTCGTCACGATTCTGGAAAGTAGAAGAAAAACAAATGTCAAATGCACTTGATATCCGCGCAAACAGAGGAATCTGGATTGTACTGAGTCTCTTTCTTTCTCCTTCAAAATGGTTTAACTAATGACTTAATGCACCACCTATTCATTGCCTGCCAGTATCATCCT